GGGGGGGGGAAGAATCAGTAAAACCTAGCTTTGTTGAAGCAGAATTCACATACCACACATACAAAATGTACAATTCAGTGGGCGTGAATATATTCAGAGTTGTGCATCCAACACCACAATCTAATGTTAAGAGTGCTTTCCTCATCCAGAACAGGAACCCCATATCAAATTTTTCTCCATGCTGTCTACAGCCCCAAGCAAACACCTCTTTCTGTCTACTTCAGACAGTTCATATAAATGGAATCCTACAATACGTGATCTTCTGGGACTGGTCTTGGGGTTCATCCGTGTATAGCATGTATCCGTACTTAATTCCTTTTTTTGCTAAGTCTATGGACATCTTATTTAATCACTTATCAGTTGATGGGCATTTGGTTTGCTTCTACTTTTTGGCTGTTATGATCTGTACAAGTTTTTTGTAGAAAGGTTTTCAGTTCTCTGGGTTACAGACCTAGGAGCAGAATTGTTGAACTTAATTTCTTAAGCAGCTGACAGTCTGTTTTCCAAATTGGCTGTGCGGTTTTCTATTCCCACAGCTAGGTATGAGAGGTCCAATTTCCCTACATCTCTACCACCATTTGTTATTATCTTTTTAATTAGTTATTCCAGCTGATCCGGATACTGGCTCAGTGTGGTTTAGCTCTGTATTTCCCAGATAGTTAAGGGTATTGATCATCTTCTGTGCTGACCACCTATACTGGTTTTTGCTGCTTAAACTGCTGACACATCCAAAAACATTTTCAAAATACATAGTTTTCAGTGTTCAGGCAATTGTTCTGATGTGCTTTTCTTTGCTCTGACATGCCATGCTCCATGTTCTGTATTTTCCCAAGTCCTGTACAGGCTGTCCATCATTGAGTCTAATCAGCTGGACAACATACATGGAGACTTTGAAAATCTTTCAGAATAATGCTTTAGTTAAGATTTTGCCAAAGCAAGTGTTCTTTCTAACTCCTTGAGCTGCATATTGCCTTGAGTAATCATCATCCGGATTGTATCCTCTTCGGTGGCATTTTTGTTTCTTTTGAATTCTTCCCTTGCCCAGTCCTTCAGGTATTTGCGATCAGAATCGTTTGGAACTTGCCGAATTGTTTGCAAAATCCTTCTGTAGAGCAGGAGAACTTGTTGCCTTCTCAGGAACTGCTTTAGTGTTAGAGTCGCCGGGGGTACCCTGGAAGTGGCCATGTCCTCCAGGCAGCGTGGGTCCCCCTCGGATGAGTTCTTTATAGAGTTTGAATGATAACCTCTTATCAAATATATCATTTGCAAATATGTTCTCTCATTTAGTACTTTGCCTTTTCCTTTTACTGATGGTTTTCCTTCACTATGCAGAAGCTTTTTCATTTGATTTAGTCTTGTTTGTTTCTTTTTGCTTGTGTTGTTCTTGCCTGAGGAGACAGATCAAAAAAAAAAAAATCACTGACACTAACATCAAAGAGCTTACTGCCTATGTTTTCTTCTAGGATTTTTATGGTTTCAGGTCTCACATTTAGGTCTTTAACCTATTTCAAGTTTATTTTTGAGTATGATGTAAGAAAGTAGTCCAGTTTTGTTCTTTTGAGTGTTGCTGTCCAGTTTTCCCAGCACTATTTATTAAGGAAACTGCATTTTCCCCGTTGTATATTTTTGCCCCTTTTGTCATAGATTAATTGATCATGTAAGTGTGAACTTATTTCTGGGCTTTCTATTCTGTTCCATTGATCTAGGTGTCTTTTTGTGCCAGTGCCATACTGTTTTGATTACTATAGCTTTGTAGTATAGTTCGAAATCTGAGAGCATGATATATCCAGCTTTGCTTTTCTTTCTCAAGATTGCTTTGGCTATTCAGGGACTTTTGTGACTTCATACAAAGTTTAGGATTATTTGTTCTAGTTCTGGAAAGAATGTCATTGGTATTTTGATAGGGATTACTTTGAATCTGTAGATTGCTTTGAGTATGGGCATTTTAACAATATTAATTCTTCCAATTTCTGAGCATGGGATATCTTCCCATTTATTTTGTTGCCTTCAATTTCTTTCATCAATGTCATAGTTTTCAGAGTATAGGTCTTTCACCTCCTTAATTAAGTTTATTCCTAGGAATTTTATTCTTTTTGATGCAATTGTAAGGGGGTTTGTTTTCCTAACTTCTCTTTCTGCTACTTAATTATTAATATAGAAAAATGCAACAGATTTCCCTTTATTGATTTTGTTTCTTGCAAATATATTGAATTTATTTATTAGTTCTAATAGTTTTTTTTTTTTTGAGGCCTTTGGTTTTCTATATATGGTATCATGTCATCTGCAAATAGTGGCAGTTTACTTATTACTTTCCAATTTCGATGCCTTTTATTTCTTTTCCTTGCCTTACTTGCTGTGGCTAGGACTTCTAATACTATGTTGAATAAAAATGGCAAGGCTGGGTATCCTTGTCTCATTTCCAATTGTAGAGGGAAAGCTTTGAGTTTTTCATCACTGAGTATGTTTGCTGTGGGTTTGTCATAGAAGGTCTTTATTATGTTGAGATATGTTTCCTGTATAACCATTCTGTTGAGGATTTTTAAAAATTTTTTTAATGTTTTATTTCTTTCTGAGAGAGAGAGAGACAGCATGAAGAAGGGAGGGTCAGAGAGAGAGGGAGATACAGAATCTGAAATAGGCTCCAGGCTCTGAGCTAGCTGTCAGCACAGAGCCTGACGTGGGGCTCGAACCCATAAACTGTGAGATCATGACCTGAGCCGAAGTCGGACGCTTAACCGACTGAGCCACCCAGGTGCCCCTGCTGAGGATTATTATCATGCATCGATGTTGGATTTTGTCAAATGCCTTTTCTGCATCTATTGAGATGATCATGATTTTTATCCTTTGTTTTGCTAATGTGGTGTATCATGTTGATTGATTTGTGGGCATTAAGTCATCCTTGCATCCCTGGAATAAATCCCTCTTGAGTGTTGTGAACGATCTTTTTAATGTATTATTAGAGTACAGTTTGCTAATATTTTGTTGAAGATTTTTACATCTATGTTAATCACACATATTGGCCTATAATTTTCTTTCTTTCTTCCTTTCTTCTTTTCTTCCTTCCTTCCATCCTCTCTCTCTCTCTCCCTCCTTCTCTCTCTCCCTCTCTCTCTCCCTCACTTTCTTTCTCTTATAGTGTCTTTCTCTGGTTTCAGTATCGGGGTAATACTGGCCTCATAAAATGAGTTTGGAAGTATGAATTCCTGTCAAATTTGTTGCCATAGTCTGACAAGGACAGGTATTAGCTCTTCTTTAAATGTTTAGAATATACTTGTGAAGCTGTCTGGTCCTGGACTTCTGTTTGTTGGGAGTTTTTTGATTACTGGTTTCATTTCGCTGCTAGTAATCTATCTGTTCAGATTTTCTATTTCTTCCTGTTTCAGTTTTGTAAGATTCTGTATTTCTAGGAATTTATCCATTTCTTCTAGGTTGTCCAACTTGTAGCCTATGATTTTTTGTCTCTTATGATCCTTTGCATTTCTGTGGTACTGGTTGTAACTTCTCCTCTTTCATTTCTGATTAACTTATTTGGGCACTCTCTCTTTTTCTCATGATGAGTCTGACTAAAGGTTTATCAATTTCATTTATCTTTTGAAAGAACCAGCTCTTAGTTTTATTGGACCTTTCTATTTTTTCTCTATTTCATTTATTTCCAATCTGATCTTTATTATTTCCTTTCTTTGGATTTTGTTTTTAGTTTTTCCAGTTCCTTTAGTTGTAAGATTAGGTTGTTTACTTGAGATTTTTCTTGTTTCTTGAGGTGAGCCTGTATTGCTATAAACTTCCCTCCGAAAACTGCTTTTGTTGTGTCTTAAAGACTTTAGGGGGTGCCTGGGTGGCTCAGTCAGTTAAGCGACCGACTCTTGATCTCAGCTCAAGTCATTATCTCATGGCTTGTGAGTTCAAGCACCATGTCGGGCTCTGTGCTCATAGCATGGAGCCTGCATGGGATCTGTCTCTTCCTCTCTCTGCTCCTCCCCTGTTCACTTTTTCTCTGTCTCTCTCTCAAAATAAATAAATAAACTTAAAAAGTATTTTAGAGTGTTGTGTTTTGACTTTCATTAGTTTCGATGTATTTCTTTTATTTCTTCCTTAATTTCTTAATTGACCCATTAGTCGTTTAGAAGCATGTTGCTTAGTCTCCACATTTTGTGTTTTTTCCAGTTTTTCTTCTTGTAATTAATTTCTAGTTTCATAGTGTTATGGTCAAAAAAGATGCTTTATATAATTTCAGTCTTCTTAAGTTTATTGAGACTTGTTTTGTTGCCTAACATGTGATTTACCCTGGAGAATGTTCCATGTGCACTTGAGAAGAATGTGTACTCTGCTGTTTCTTAAAACTAATTAACTATTTAAAAAATCTTATACTGAACATACAGTGTTATATTAGTTTCAGGTGTACAATCTAGTGATGCAACATTTCCATACAATACTCAGTGCTCATCATGATAAGTATATTCCTAATTCCCTTCATGTGTTTCACCCATCCCCCCACCTACCTCTTCTCTGTCAACCATCAGTGTGTTCTCTACAGTTAAGTGTCGGTTTCTTGGTTTGTCTCTTTTTTTCTTTGTTGGTTTGTTTTGTTTCTTAAATTCCACATACGAGTGAAATCATACATACTCTACTGGTTTTTTTTATTTTTTTAACGTTTATTCATTTTTGAGAGACAGAAAGAGAGCACAAGCCAGGGTAGGGCAGAGAGAGAGGGAGACACAGAATCTGAAGCAGGCTCCAGGCTCCAAGCGTCAGCACAAAGCCTGACGCTGGGCTCCAACTCACGAATGGTGAGATCATGACCTGAGCCGAAGTCGGATGCTTAACCAGCTGAGCCACCCAGGCGCCCCATGCCCGGTAGAGTATTCTTTTTTTTGTTTTTGTTTTTGTTTTGCTTTTTTATTTTTTATTATTATTATTATTTTTTTTACAAATAGTTTATTGTCAAATTAGTTTCCACATAACACTCAGTGCTCATCCCCACAAGTGCCCTCCTCCGTGCCCATCCCTCCTCCTCCCTGCCCGGTAGAGTATTCTTGATTGTAAGTTTTTTCCTTTCAGCACTTTGAATATATCATGCCATTCCCTTCTGGCTTACAAAATTTCTACTGAGAAATCTGTGAAAGTCTTATGAGGTTCCCTTATGTGTAACTAATTGCTTTTCTCTTGCAGCTTTTTAAGATTCTCTCTTTATCTTTTATTTTTGACATTTTAATTATAATTTGTTTTTGTGTGGATCTCTTTGGGTTCATCTTGTTCAGGACTTTCTGTGCTTCCTGGACCTGGATGTCTGTTTTCTTCTCCAGGTTAGGGAAGTTTTCAGAAGTTATTTCTTCAAATAAGGCTTCTGTACACTTTCTCCATCTCTTCTCCTTCTGGGACCCCTATAATGCAAATGTTAATATGCTTGATGTTGTCCTAGAGGTCCCTTAAACTATCCTCATTTTAAACATTCTTTTTTTTCTGTTTGCTTTTCGGTTTGATTGATCTCCAACACCCTGTCTTTCAGATTGCAGATCCGTTCTTCTGTATCATCTAATCTGCTCTTTATTCATTCTAGTGTATTTTTTTTTTTCATTTCTGATGTCGTATTCTTTAGCTCTCATTGGTGCTTTCTTGGTTAAGGTTCTCACTGTGTTCACCCATTCTCCCGAGCTTAGTAATCATCTTTCTGACCATTACTTTGACCTCTTTTCTTAAGTTTATGTATTTATTTTGAGAGAGAGCACAAGCAGGAGAGGGCCAGCAAGAGAATCTCAAGCATGCCTAGCTTGGAGCCCAACATAGGGGGTCTCAAACCCACAAACCGTGATGTCATGACCTGAGCCAAAATCGAGAGTCAGATGCTTAATCCACTGAGCCACCCAGGTGTCCTGTTACTTTGAACTCTTAATCAGGTAGATTGCTTATCTCTGTTTCATTTAGTACTTTTTCTGATGTTTTGTTCTTTCGTTTGGAACATATTCATCTGTCTCCTCAACTTGCCTGACTCTCTGTGTTTGTTTTTATGTATTAAGTAGTTCAGCTAGGTCTCCTACTCTTTTTTAAAAAAACGTTTTTATAATGTTTATTTATTTTTGAGAGACAGAGCACGAGTCGGGGAGGGGCTGAAAGAGAGGAAAACAAAAGATCTGAAGCAGGTGCCAGGCTTTGAGCTGTCAGCACAAAGCCCGACCCTGGGCTCGAAC